AGAACAGATCAACAAGGTAAGCAGACAAATAGAAATTCTAAGAATCAAAAAAGAAATACTGGAGATCAAAAACACTGTTAACAGAAGTGAAAAATGCTTTTGATGGACTCATTAGTAGATCGGACACATTTGAGAAACGAATCTCTAAGCTTATGTCAATAGAAACTTCAAAAATGACAAAACAAAGAGATAGAACACTGGGGGAAAAAAAGCAACAGAATATCTGAGAATTGTGGAACAACTACAAAAGGTGTAACATTCACATAATGAGAAACCAGAAGGATACAAAGGAACAAAGGAAATATTTGAAGCAACAATGACTGAGAATTTCTCCCAAGTTAATGTCCTGGCAAACCACAGACCCAGGAACCCAAGAGAACACCAAGCAGCATAAACACTATAGGTGTAAACAAAAATGGCACCTAGCATTTCATATACGAACAGCAGAAAATCAAATATGAAGAAATAATGTTCAAGGACACCGGAGGAGAAAAACACTTTACCTGTAAAGGAACAAAGCTGAGAATTAATCCGATTTCTCAGAAACCATGCAAGCAAGAAGAGTGTATCAAATATTTTAAAGTATTGAGAGAAAAAACTCAGTAACCTAAAAATTCTATACCCTATAAAATTATTCTTCAAAAGGAAAGGAGAGACATCACCAAGGTGGCCACACAGGTCATTCCTTACTTCGCTCTCTGTCACAACTAACAACTATTCATAGACAAAACACTGCTGGGAGAATCCTAAATTTGGGAGTGAGGCTGAAGCACCTCCTGTACCATGGCGAGAAAGACAGACTGCATTAGAAGGGTCAGAGATGCAGCGACATGGACCACATTGCCCGTCCACGAGGCCAGCACACAGCATGGCGAGAGGCCTCCCCTGAGCCTGTGGTTCTTCCAGTTTGAAGAAAGATCTCAGGAGTGACATCCAGCTCCCCCCCAGCATTGTGTGACCCAAATCAACAAATTGTAAATAAAAAAGAAGACATTACAGCTGATACCATAGAAATACTAGGAATCATAAAAGGCTTCTGTGAACAACAACTATGTGTCAGCAAACTGGACAACCTAGAGTAAATGGAAAAATGCATAGGACATACAAACTACCATGACTGAGTCAGGAAGAAATAGTCTCAATAAACTAATGACTAGTAAGGAGATTGAATCAGTAATCAAAAATTTACCAACCAAGAAAATTCCAGGACCGGAAAACTTCACTGGTGAACTTTACCAAACATATAAAGAAAAGTTAAACCAAATCCTTCTCAAATTCTTCCCAAAAATTGAAGAGGAGGGAACACTCCCAAACTCATGAGGCCAGCTTCACCCTGATACCAAAGCCAGAAAAGTAAACTACAGAAAAGAATACCACAGACCAATATCCATGATGCAAAAATACCAGCAAAACAAATTCAGTGGCACATTAAAAGGATAATTCACCATGATCAAGTAGGATTTATACTTGGGATGCAAATATGGTTCCACATACGCAAACAAGTCATTGTGATACACCTTATTAATAGAATGAAAGCAAAAAAAATATGACTATCTCAGATACAGAAAAAGCATTTGACAAAATTCTACGTTTCTTCATGACAAAAACTCTCAACCAGTTAGGTATAGAAGGAAAATAACAACATAATAAAGGCCACATGTGATAAGCCCACAGCTAACATCACACTCAGTAGTGCGAGGTTGAAAGCTTTTCCTCTAAGGTCAGGAACAAGACAAGGATACCCATCCCTTTTCAACGTACTTCTGGAAGTCCTTGCCAGAGCAATAAGGCAAGAAAAGAAATAAAAAGCCTCAGAATTGTAAAGGAAGAAATAATATTATTTCTATTTTTAGGTGACATGATTTTATACATAGAAAATCCTAAAAACTCCACCAAAAATTCAGTAACATTTCAGGATACAAAATCAAAATACAAAAAATGGTAGTGTTTCTTACACTATCAATGAAATATTAGAAAAATGAAAACAATGATCCCATTTACAATAGCATCAAAAACAAGAAAATATTTAGAAAGTTAACCAAAGAGATGAAAGATCTCTACTTTGAAAACCAGAGGACACTGATGAAATATATTGAAGACAACATAAATAATGGAAAGGCTACTGTGCTTATCAGTTGGAAGACTTAATATTGTTAAATGTCCATACTCCCCAAAGGGATCCAGAGTTACCTGCAATCACTATGAAGATTCCAGTGGCATTTTTCACAGAAATAGAACAGTTTTAAAATTTGTTTGCAGCCACAAAGTACTCCAGATATCCAAAGTAGCCCTGAGAAACATCAAAGGTTGGAGGCATCACAATTCCTGATTTCAAACTATATGCTACAAACCATAGCAAATCAAAACAATGTGTACTGATGTAAAGACAGCCACTAGATCAGTGGAACAGAATGGAAAGCCCTGAAAAAAAAAACCCCACACATATAGTCAATTTTCAACAAGACAGCCAAGAATATAGAATGGGGAAAGGATAATCCCTTCAATAAAATGGTGTTAGGAAAACTGGATATCCACATATACAGGAATGAGGCTGGACTCTTATCTTGCACCATACACAAATATCAACTCAAAATGGGTTAAAGCTTTGACACCATAAAGCTCCTAGAAGAAAGCATAGAGAGTAAGCTCCTTGATGTTGGTCTTGACAGTGACTTTTTGGATTTTGGCAATAAAAGCAAAAATAAAAAGTATGAGTATATCAAACTAAAAGGCTTTGCATCGCAAAGGAAACCATCAACAAAATGAAAAGGCAACCCACTGAATGGGAGAGATTATTTATACTGTTGGTTGTAATGTGAAGTGCTATAGCCACAATGGAAAAATTTGAGCACCAAATTAAATAATTATAGTGTTTGATTATAACTCAAAGAATAAAATAAATATCCATGTGTCCCTTCCTGCAGAGGAATTCCAATGAGTAATGTGGAAGAAATGAGGGAACGACAAAGTCGCCATGAGATCACCATGATAATAATTGTCATAGGCAGGATCCCCTGATGAATGGTAAATTGTCAGAAGTTTAAGGAGAAACAGGCTATTTTCAAAGTCACAAAATATCTCCCCTAAATCATTTACAAAGGAAGACAGTAACTTCACCGTGTAGAGACTTGCTAGACATCACCTTGATCAAGTGTTTGAGGTTAATACCACCTGCAATGAAGCGTGGCCCCTGGCCTGGCGCACTGGGAGGAGAACTCGCTCTTGTATCCACCCAAATGCAGAGCCTCTGTCTAATCAGGAGAAAGTGTCACACAGACCTGCACTGGGGCAGCTCTCCAAATCCACTTGCCAGTCCTCTTCTGAGTGTCAGTCTTGAGGGATAAGGGAACATGACAAGTAAAGGCACTGTGGGGTCTTGGGAAGGGTCCTGAATGGAAAGAAATGATGAGAAAACTGATAAAGTAGGAAGTTTGATTCATAATTGTACACTGTTGATTTCTTTATTTTGAGATTTTTAGTATAGTTGTATGTTAACAAGGGAGACTGGGAGAGGGGCATAGGGAAACTGTGTACAATCATTGCAAATCTAAAATTGTCTCAAAATAAAATTAGAGACAAAATATGAATGTCTGAGGCCAGTACCATTTTCTTATATCTCACAATTATGTATCAAATACCAATGGAGAAAAAAGGCTATTATTCTCTGGTTACCAAACACTCACTTTTGGTGATTGTTACTTTTGTGATTTATTTTAACTGGATTTTGGTGGTGGTGATTTTGGTTGAAGTTTTTATAAAAATATTCAATAATTGAAGTTTAATAAACAATGAAACCAGAGGTGATTGACAAAATTAAAACAGGTGAACTAACACAAATTCTCTTTCTTTTTTAATTCAAGTATAGTTGATATATAGTATCAGTTTCAGGTGCACAACAGAGTTATTTGACAATTATATGCAGCACCAGATGCCCACCATGATAAGTGTGATTACATCTGTCACCATACAAAATTATTACAATACTACTGATGGTCCCTTTGCTCTGCTTCATACCCATGACTTACTTATTTTATAATTGGAAAGTTGTCATATGATTTCATTTACATGTAGAATCTAAAAAACAAAACAAATGAACAAATAAAATGGAAATAGACTCATAAACACAGAGAACCCACTGGTGGTTGGCATAGGGGAGGGGTGGGAGGCAGGGGCCAGGTGCTTTTATTGTGGCACTTGTTTCCCAGAAGTTTGTGAGCGCCAACTTTCCTCTTCCCTTCCCTTTACTGAGTGTGACCATGTTCTGCCTCCTTCACACTTAACATACATTATAATCCCAGAGGAAATTTAGCCCTGCTTGAAAGAACAGAGATTCAGAAAAAGGCTGGGAAATTCGGGGTCTTCTCAGTGGCTGATAGGGTGCCCCACACCTTTATGGCCATTTGGAGCTGTAAGATGCCGAAGTACCATGAATGGTGCCACCATCCTAACACACTGGCAGTGTTTCCTGGGATTTGATATTGGAGATACCTGGCTGTTTAACAGATACAGTTCAGTGCTGTTTATGGACTTAGTTTATACTTATTTGTTGTGTTCCATGTACACGGGGCCGTGCTGAGCTGTGGAGAAATCAGAAATCAAAGTCATGATCTCTGCCAAAGAACCCCCACTCATTTGAAAGAAAACAAACATGAAGGTAGGCAATGGGCAGAGAGAGCAGAGGCTTCAGAGATTTTACAGCATATCCTCACCATCTCTTCCTTTATCGCTAGACCTGTGCCCTTGGGATTTATTTAAACTCTCCCAAGTCTGTCTCCTTATCTGTAATACAGGATTAATTTAATGTCAGTCTTCCAGACTGTCATGCTCATTACTACTTGGCACCCAGGAGCCCCTTAGGAGCTGTCGGATAGCTGTTACCACCACGGCTGTTGTCACCGAGATCAATGGGCTAGTGGAAAACACAATAGTTCATCACACGGAATGACTCTGTTCCCTGAACACTGTGGCAGGTGCTCAGTCTTTGTGTCTCCCCCCTTTAGGGATGATGAAGAGAAAAAAAAGCCTGCATCGGAAGGTGCTGATGAGAAGGCCAATGGGACACACCCAAGGACCGCCGGCCGAGTCGGGGGCTCCACCAACCCGTTCGTGGGCATCCCGCATGACCCCGATGCTGCCGTGTACAAAAGTGGGTTCCTGGCTCGCAAAATCCATGCAGATATGGATGGAAAGAAGAGTAAGTGTCATTTGTTGTCATTTTCTATTTTATTTATTTCACCTCTAGGCTCAGAATTTAAAGTGAATTTATCTGAAGTAAAGTCAAGGATGAAAAAAAATTATGTTTATCCAGAGAAGTCCACTGAAGTTTGATAAAGCCTCTAAGTCAGAAATCCAGTGTGGCACCGGGTCATCTCCATGTAGAATTACAGCTCTTCAGAAATGGGAGATGACTTACAGATTATTCATTTCCAAACTTTTGTTCATGTATTTATTCTTGCTTCAACAAATAACTAGGCCTAAAAAAAGTAGGTCCTGTCTTCATGAAGTTGACATTCTTGGCAGGTGATGAGAAGGGTGAGCTAATGACACACCGGACTGCCAGTAGGGCAAGGTCCCAGACCAGAGCGGGGAGGAAGAATTGAGACCCAAGCACATGTGGAAGGGGGTCCCTGGCAGATGGCAGGTGCTGCCAGTGTCAGACAGCACTGGGGCCATCTGATGGCTCTGCGAAGTCTGACACGTGGTCGCATACACGCAGAAAGTGGGGGTTGAAGTTTCAGAGGAATGGAGTGTGTTCTTACGTTTAGAATAATGTTTGTAGAGTGAAGAGCAGTTTGATCAGTAGAACAGGCTGAGACAGTCTGTGTACACTCAGAGTCAACAGGCTGTACCTCCGGGGTGGCCCTCCCCACCCAGGACAAACAGGTCAGGCTGGGACAGTGCACGGCCTCCTCCGTGAGAGTCTGGGCACGTCTTCCTGGCGCATTAGCATATTCTGTTAGGTTACCGTGGGGAGGAACACTGTCATGGCTAGCTTTGACGCTGACACAATGCTGGACAGTCTTGTAATGTTTCCCACTTCCTGGGGAGCGCCTGCCCTACATTTCCTGTGTGTCCTCTACAGTGACCTGTGAGACCACGTAATTCCCTGGAACAGCACTGTGTCGGGTCTCTGGCAGTTGCAAGTGACACTATAACTAGCTTAGGAGCAAAGGACAGGGGCACCTGGAGAGGAAGGATTCTCACCAGGACACTTTGTCCATTTCTGCATCGAGGTCATTTGCATGTCAGCTTTATTCTCTGAAACAGGTCTGTCTTTCATGGCTGAGTCTGTGATTATTAGCACCTGCAGAGCATGTGCTCAGTTTCACCACCAAGTAGGATTCTCCTTCCCTGTCTTCCAGTTTAGTAGATTCTGGAGCAGGACTCTGATTTGTATGAGGGGTGGAGCACTGTGATTGACAGCATCTACGTGGTTGCTGTGACAGGAGGAAGGTGCCCTTTAGAGAGAATCAGACACAATTCTCCAAGAAAGGGAGTTCGTTTTGGCAGACAAAGCAGCAGATATTTATGTCCTTGTTCCCAGGGTGCACATCACCGCTTCTTCATACATTGAGCTCAGACAGCGCTTTTGCCACACACAGTACAGTTTTCCGTTTATAACCACAGATACACTCAACTCTGTCCTGCATGCCATGTCTGAATGGGGCTCCATCTCCAAGGCTGCGCTTTGCTGGCTGGAGTCCATTTTCCTCAGGTAGGGACATAGCTTCATAACACAGGCTATTCGACAAAATAGAAATCCTTGACATACTTCATTTAAAGTGCTAGAGACAAAACCCAGAATAACTTCAGTTTAAAACGTCAGTTCAAGAAAATGCAGAGAAAGAAGAGAAACAGCCCTCCCTGTCTCAGCGTAGGTTACTGTGTCCTGCTGCGCGAGGGAAGCAGAGTCAACTCACCTAAGCATCTCTCATTGACTCACTGCCCAACCAACGGATTCACATACTTGGTGAACTTATTCCAGAGCATCCCTAGATTCAGCTGATTGATGTGTTTTCCTTTGTCCCTGTTTTCCTGGGCCACCTCTTGAGGATTATTGAAGAGAATTCCCTTGCTGGAAGCTCTGCTCTATGCAACCCAGTGCATATGAGGATAGGTTCAAACCTGGGAGTTCCTTCCCAGGTGAATGAGCATAGACCTCTTGTACCAGGCTAGGAGATTTCCTACCAGTAAAGCTCCTTTAAAAAGCCTTAGTGAACTCCTTTGAGGGCTTCTGGTTGATGAGAGCAGTTTCAGCATCTCAGGGCGTTTGCCTTTTTAGCAACTTTCAGAAGTCACACTTGGTATTACCCGCCTCTGCTTCTCTCTGCCTCCGCTCCTGCCTCAGAACACAGAAATAGATGCATCAGGTCAGATGGGGCAGCTGGGCCCCAGTTTCTAGGTTCCTTTCCTGTCAGCTGCTTTATTAATGGGTCTTTTCCACCTCTGCCTTTGGGAGGGGTTTTGGGAGGAGCCTCAAAGTTTCAGCCTTTTTTAATTCCTCAGACTATTCCTGGACATTCTCATTCCAATTTCTATGATTTTCTGAATTTGCTTTGTGTGGCTAGACAATCCAGCTTTTCCAGTGCAGCAAAGTACATAATTTCTAATGATTATTTACATACATTAAAATGTACCAACTTCAAGTATATAGTTGGACTTCTGAAAAATGTATACAGTTGCATAACCACCATCACAATCAAAGTGTGTAACATTTGTTACCCAGAAAAGTGCCCTTGTACTTTCTCCCCTCTTTACTGCCAGCCCGTGGCAACCACTTAGAAGCCTTCAGGTACTATTCCTTTGCCTTTTTTAGAATTTCAATAAATGGAACCATTCTTTGTGTCCTACCTGTCTTCTTTCACTTAGTGTTCTTTGCAGCTTCATCCATATTGTCATGTGCTGGGTGAATTCATAGTTTATTTTTATTGATGAGTAAGTAGTACATTCATTCCATTGTTTGGATATCCCACACATCACACATTCACCAGCCATTTCCTTTTTTGAGTTGTTTCCTTTTTTTGGTTATTATAAATAAATCTGCTTTGGACATTCACACACACATCTCTGCATATGTATTTTTTTTCATCATTTTTCAGGAGCTACCTAGAGTGAGGGAGTGAGGTTGCTTGTATGCTAAGTATATGTTTCACTTTATAAGAAATGTCGAGACCATTTTACCAGGTGTCTGTGCCATCCTGCTCTCCTGCCAGCTGTGCGTATCGTGTCCTCATAATAAAATGATCCCTTTGCCATGAAGTGACCCTCATCCTGGGCACGCTCCTTATTTTGAATTCTACTTTGTCTAATATTAATAGAGCAACTCCAGCTTTTTTTTTTAGTTTTTACATGGTATACAGAAATTTTTCCTTACTTGTTCATTTTAATCTATGATCTTGTCTTTAAAACTGTTTTACATAGCATAATTATCTTTTTATTCAACTGAAAATCTCTGTCTTTAAATTGGAATGTTTAGACCATTTACATTTATAGTAATTACTAATGTAGTTGATTTTAAATCTACTGTTTGGTTTTTACTTATTCCGTCTTTTTTTGTGCCTTCTTTGGGACATTTTGTGTGTGTGTGTGAGTATGTGTGTGGTCCTGTCTCACTACTGGCATGTTAGCTGTGCATCTTTGTTTAATAGTTTCAGTGACTGCTGCACAGTTTGCACTGTAACACTATACTTGTCACCCTCTACCTTCAGTTGTTTCCATATCAATGTGGTTAGAGGCCCTCATAACAGGTCGCTTTCCTTTCTCTCTTCTTAGCACTCATGCCGTTTTCATACACATTGACTGTGTGTATGTTTTAAAAGCTCCAGGTAGACTGTTACTGCTTTTGCTTTAAACAGAAATGTGTTTTTTACTTTTACCCGTATACTAACCATATCTGGTGTATTGGGTTTCTTTTTGCAGTTCCAAATGGTTCATTTAGTGTCTTTATTTTCTGTTCTATTTCCTTTACTATGTCTGATAGTAATTCTTGCTGTCAAGAAGTATTTTCATGTTTTATTGGTTTAAAAAGTTGATTTCACCTTAATTTTAAGATGTTACATGTTCAGTAGGTGTAGAATTCTTTGGCAGGGTTTTCTTTTGCTTCCAGTAATTTTTAAATTTCCATTTCATTGTTCCCTGCGCTGTGTGACTTCAGACAAAAAGTCTACTGTCACTGTTCCTCTATGCCTAGTTTTTCCCCCACTCTAGCTGCTTTCAAGATTTTTCTCTATCTTTGATTTTTAGCAGTTTTATTATAAGATGCCTTAATATGGTTTAATTTATGTTTTTCCTTCTCTGGTGTTTGTTGAATTCTTGGATTCATCACTTTGTAGTTTCTAACAATTTTGCACATTTTTCAACCATTAATTCTGTAGCACCCACCCCTTTCCTGGACTCTGGTTTCCCATATTGAGACTGCTTGGTATTACACAAAAAGCTGAATGCTCTGTTCAGTTTTTCCCCAATTCTTTTTTTGTCTTTTTAGTATTCTTCTTTTATTTATTTGTTATCTTTATTTTTATTGCTATGTCTGTTGCTACAAAAAAGTTTATTTCTAGGTCTTCAAGTTTACCACAGCATTTTTCATTTCATATATATAGTATTTCTTATCTTTGAAACTGCAACATGAATCTTTTATATCCTCCATTTGTCTCCCTAACAAGTCTGTGTTTTTTTTAGCATCCTTGAGCATATTTATCATATTACAACAGCCGTTTTAAGGTCTTTCTCTTCAAATCTCTTGCTCTCTCTCATTACTGGGACTGTGACATTGATTAATCTTTCTGCTGGCTATAGGTCATGGTTTTTGTTTGCATTCCTAGTAATCTGTGTTTGAATGCCAGATGTGACATTTTTCAGGGCTGCATTTAGTTGTGTTCCTTTAAAGGATGTTGGATTTTATTCTGTTGTGCAGTAACTCATCTGTAGATCAGGTGAACCCTGTAGAGGGCCGCCTTCACCCTCTGTCACGGCGAGCCCGAGGCGGCCTTTGTTCTGGGACTTACTCATCTCCCCACTGCAGCATTATCACTGTTCCTTAGACGCCAGCGCCCTCGTATCACAAAGTCTTCTGCTCTGACAAGAACACAAGCTATTCCTAGCCTTGCTGAGCTCTTGAAATTGTTCATTCCACTACTGTTTGGCGGGTCTTTCCCATGCATTGGATGACTTCCTTTCCCATAGAGCTCCAGCCAA